AAGCATAGCCAACTCTGCCAACTGGTTTCACGCCCGAAAATGTCCCAAGAGAAAAAGGAACCCCGCTTGCTTCTTTTGATCTCAAGGGTTTTGTCTCCCTTACCCCTACTCTCTCTGTGTGCAGGTGAAATTCGCCAGTGAGAAAACTGGAATTTTTCACAAAATAGATTGTGATTGCTACATAATTTGATATGAATATTGGAAGAACTTTTCCCATGAAAAATCCATACTTTAAACACTCTCCCCCCAAACATACACACACAAATTGTTTTTATGAGAACCAATTAATAAATGCTAATTCATCCAGGCATATCTCCACTAAATTACTCTTTCATTTAATTGCAGGGGAATTTTCCATTACTAAAATCTCCCTTGCTGATTTTTTTTGCATTATTTATATATTATTTCAGTTTCACTAATAGTGAGGTTGGTATGCGATATTATCTTCTGTTTGTAAGTTTTAAATTTCTTTTCATTTAACATGTTTCCTCATTCTTGTAGCTCCACGTAATCTGGGAGAAACATCATTAAAAGATTTTAAACATAATTTTAAACATAAATGATGGAAACAGGCACTGGCTGAAATGAACCTGACGGGACAGTATCTTGTCTGATGAAACTGCTCTGATTTCAGGCATGCGTGGGTGTGCGGGAGCGTGCGTCTCCACTTTGGATTAATGTGGAAATATTTTCCTATGTCAGTGAGTCACAAGTCAATCCACGGAAAAGATTGTGGGTACAGAACTAGGAATGAAGATCTCAGGGGCTTTAATAATAAAAATAAACAACACTTAAATCTCTTTATAAGCCACCAGAGCACAATGTGTCTTTTCTTGCTTCCTTTTTCATGGACAGTAAATCCAAACTTTGATACCTAGACACCCCAAAGTCAGACCACCCAGTCCCCAAAGATCCTGCCTTTTTATGCATGAAATAGTAGGGGTTTTGGTGATGGTGAGGGGTTAGGGACTGTGGTTGAGATCATATTCAAAAGGACATGTTTTAAAGTAGAATTTTGATTTCCTTATATTGAATGGCAAAGTTTCCAAGTACCTGGCTACCTTCATTTCTGAAATGAGTTCTTTCTTTTTCCTCTCCAATCACCTTCTTCCCCTCCAGTCTCTCCTCCCTCATTGTCTCCTTTCAGTCTTTCTTTTTCTCTTTAGTCTCTCCCTTCTTTTTCTTTCACACGAACACATTCTAGGGGATGTGAATGATTAAACTGTTTACTCCGAGGTTTGAGGTTGAGGTATGAAAAGTCATGTCACCGTAAGTAAAGTTTCACCTTTATACCCAACTCTATCAATAATTACAGAGCAAGGATGACGGTTAGTAAATCTTTCTTACAATTTGCTCTTACAAAAATGATACCATTTATTCTGAGTGTACTGAGCTCCCTTGATCTTACTTTTCACAAAAATTAATTACAAAGCTGAGTAACCTCCAAAATGAAGTCAGTATATAAAGGGATGTATATTCCTGGCGAAAGGCATACACATAAAACACGTGCCATATTAAAATTCGAGATTCGAGGCCATAAATAGAAAGTTTTGACATGTAGTTATAATGGTAGGTGCTCTCCTCTGAACCAAAATATCTCTTAATAATTAAATTTCCGCGATTGATTTTTGTGTTTTTTTCCCCCTCCACTTCCTTTGTCCTCTTCAGTAAAATTAGGTACAGTCCTTTTAGGTATAGACTGATAAAATTAATTAACTTTCCTTCCACCCTGAAAATGTCCCAAATAAATGCTTCCAATAGACATCAAAAAAGTGTCAATTAGAAATAATTACTTCTTATCAATCAGTGGGGCAATTAAAGTGACAAAGCTTGAAAAGATACTTATCTTAAAACTAATTCACAAGGTAGCTAAATTATCTCCTAATTAACTTGCATGGAGGAGGGTTGGAGGATGGACCATCTCCAAACAAAGATGAATTGAGGAACCCCAATACCTCTTTATGTTCCTCAAGACCTTTTCTCATCCCTAGACCTTATTTTCAACCCAGGCAAGAAACCTGGGAAGAAAACAGTTTCTTGGCTTACTTTGCTCCTTTTAAAAACCAAGTGGAGGGTATGGGGGACTTTCCATCTGTGATCTAAGGAAGTTAGAGAAACGCTCTTTCCATAATGGAAAGTCTCATATTACTTCTTGAATAATATATTTTCAGGAGTTGGGGGAAGAGGATTTCTGGAAAGTTACTATGCATAACTTTTAATAACAACCTGCTTGCTTTTTTTTTTTTTTTTTTTTACTGAGCCCTCTTCTTCACGGATGTAGTACTGTTTACATTCTAATACTTATGTGGCATCTTTTATTCTTTAAAGAAAAGTTCTTGCTCAGGATCTCTGTTCCTTGATGCTACAAAATTCCCGGTGGATTTTACGGACCGTTCATCCCATCACTGACCATCGGCAAATCAGACTCAATCACTCTTCGCTCTCTACATCCCTTCAGAATAAAACGTAGGGAGGAAAAAAAAATTTTTTTTAAAGATCCCTCTGCGAAGCAAGATCAGCCGGGGGTGAGCCGCAGTGGCGGGGGCGTCAGAGGCCGCGCAAAACTTTTCTCGGCGGGTTTCGTTTTATCTGAAACGGTGCGCTGGGCCTCGCTCCCGCGAAAAGGTCCCGCCGCCCGCCTTCGCCCCATTTTGCTCCAGGGAAAACCTTCAAGAAGGCTTCTCCAGGCAAAGTCCACACAGAGTCGTGATCTCAGAAAGCGAAACGGCGGGGGAGAAAGAAGGAAATCTCTAAGACCAAAGAGGGAAATGGGCTTATAAAAAACTGGAGGGCTCAGCTTGTGAATTTAGCTCTAAATACAGACAATGGTGTCAAGTGATTAGAAAGACGGAGGGTCTCTCACTCAGATTTACCTAGAGAGGATTTGAAAAAGAAACAGGGGACAGCCTTGAATCTTTTGAGCTATGATTTAAGCAAATTTCTTCTGTTTCATTAGCATTAAATTAAACTATAGGAGAAAGCCTTTCTCCCTCTCTTAGATTTATTTTTTAATTTGTTTTGGGGAGAGGATTGAAGAAGTCCCCTCTAGACAGAGAATACTTCCGTCCCAGGCCCCGCCTGCGATAGGGGCGAAACTGCTCCCTCCGCAAACCCAAGGGCGATTGCTTCCGAGCTAATGGAAAAGCAGGGTCTCCTCATCTGGGTTTGGGGCTGATTAAAAATAAAGTAAAAATAAATCGTGCCTTTTCTTCTTTCCCTCTTGATTTCCATGTATTCTAAAGAGCGCTTCCGTAATGACAATCACTAGTGAAAACAAAATCCAGCCAACCCGAGGGACCGTGACACCGTCTTATTTCTCACGCAGAGACAGGGAGGAAAAGGTCTGGTCCAGGACTGTAAATTCGAGGACCTAGAGAGAGCACCCACTCTTCTCACGGCCAGAGCGGTCAGGGGAAGGTCGGCGGTGGCTTAAGGGTTGGGTAGAAAGAAACAGGGAGCCGAGCAGAAGCTGCGGAACCAGCCTGGCGTTGCATCCGGCACCTGACGCCGCGCCGCGCGCTCTGCCTGGGAGACCAGTCCAGATTCCGAGGCGAGGGCGACGTGTGTCGTTACACCCGCATTAGGCTAAAGACTAAGAGACTAAAACCTGGTCCTGGTCCCAGAAAGTGGTCAAGGAGCTTTTATGACGCCTGGGCGCGGAGTAAGGAGTGCCAGGCGCTCCGCTGGGTCTCCTGGCTCGCCGACCCCGCTGCTCCCGGGAGCATTGGTGAGATTTCCGCTCCGCTCCCCCGAAGGCCGGGCGCCCGCAGAGCCGGGCCAGGACCGCGGTGGCCTCGCTCACCTCCTAGCACAGGGATGCGGAGGGAGGGTGCTGCTGACTCAGTCTCCGGTGGTGGAGCGAACCCGAACGAGAAACCTTCGGGCGTCCACGGGGGTCCCCGCGCCTGTGCCTGTGGATCCTCCGCCTTCAGTCCCGGAGCAGCGCAGCGCTCTGGGCTAAATTGAGATCTCAGCCGCGCGCAGCGCCCGATGCGACCCTCCTTATTATAACAAATGTCCCGCTTGCCGAGCGGGACTTCATATTCGCCAAGAATTCATCTGAAATATTGATTTCCTCTCACTCCACCGGCCCAAATCGATAGCGTTGCGCCCTGGCCCCATAAATCGCCTTCCCCGGGTCTGGCCCGGCTCCATCCATCACCGCGGGCCGGGCCGCGACTCCTGCTTGCTGTCCACACTTGCAGAGCGCCCGGCGGGCCATGCCCACCGTGCCCACCGGCCCCAGCCCTGCTGCTCCTTCCTGGCACAGACCACCCCGACCTGAGCCCGGAGGTCGCGGAGAGTCGGCGCCGCGGCCAGTGACTCCCAGAGCTTTAGAAGGCCGTGAACCCGGATGCCGGTGGGGAGCGGGATTCGGCCAGCGGAGGGCTCAGTCCTCGCCCGGCCGGATGCCCCGCACGCGGGTCCCCTTCTGACCGGTGTTGAGCAAAGAGGAGTCCGATAGCCCTCCAGTGCGCTCACTGGATCCCAGGTGCTCACGGGTCCCAGGACCCGGTCCGCGGGCTCCTCTCGTGTGGGCTGGAGAGGTGCGCGGGTCTCAGGGTCCCGCCACCGGAGCCTCAGGCGAGAGCTGCGCGCACCCGGGGACGAGGGCGTAGAGGTCGGGAGCAGGGGACTGCAAGTCTAGCAGGGGTGCGGCGTAGGGCCTGAGAGCGCGCAGGATGGCCACTATGACGGGCCAGGCGAGAGACTGACGGGACGCGAAGGACACTCCTCTGACCCCACGGAAAGCTCCTCGCCCCCCCGGTGGTCCGCAGAAACCCAGGCCTGGGGAGGTCGGCTCCGCCGGGTCGAGGGGGGAACCTCAGGGCCCAAGGGAGTGGCGAGGCGGCCGCTGCGGAGAGCCAGGCCCGAGGCGTCCCCAGCTGCGCCCCCACGCAAGGGGTCCAGTGAGCCGCGAGCCCCACCGACCCGAGCGCACGCACGGACGCACAGCGACGCGGGGGCTCCGGGGGTCCCCGGCCACGCCGCGTTCTTACCGGATCTAATGGAGTTGTGAGGCATCCCGGAGAGTCGCTCGCAGCCCGCCGAGGGCTCAGGGCTTCCTCACGCAGGTCCGCGCCGCGCCCGCCGCCACGCCGCTGCCCTGCACAGACCCGGGGCACGGGTGAGACTCCGGCCCGCCGCCTTAGACCTCCTCCCCAGGCCCTACCCCGAGGCTTTCATCGCCAGGCAGGGGTCGCAGGATTTTCAGGCGAAGAGTGGCCAACCTCAGGCCGGCCTAACCCATGCGCCCGTCCGGAAGAGCCGGCGTTCGGGTCCGCTGGGCAGCGCCAAACTCTAACCCGCTGCCCTCTGCTCGGCTGCCCCAGCCTCATCCAGTTTAACTTGAGAGAGAAAAGGCTGCTGGGCTTCCTGGGACCCTCTCCCTTCTCCAGTCACCCCTCTCTCCCACTCAGCTTTCAGCCAACCCCTGGGCGGCATACCTGGCCGGCCGGCCACAGGCCCTTACTGCCCGGGTCCGCCCTCGAGGGTGCCCTGGACCCCGTGTCTCTCCTCCTTCCGAAGTTTGTTCCCATCCACCCGGCATCGCCGACCGGTTTTATCCCGCCAGGGCCCGGAGAGATGGGTCTGGAGAGGCTCGCAGGCCGCCGATTGGCTGGCTGGGTGCGGGAAGGGGAGGATTTTGCAAGGGGGACATGGCTGAGTGGACTCAGGAGTTAGAAACATTCGCTGGAGCTTCTGTTTCCAGTGGAGAGAGGAGAGAGAGGCAGCTGAGCCCTAACTCAGCAGGCTTGGAAAGATCTGAGGAGTGTGCGATGGAGGCTTTAGAGCTGGAGGACGAGGGTCTCTGGGAACCTCTGGAGCCAGTGAAGCCGCCACCTTTCTTGCTCCCTGAGGAATTTGAACTTGGGGGAAGAGTTCAGAGGACAGGCCTAGTTGAGGGCCTAGATTGCCTAGATTGCAACTCAAGCTGCAAGTGTGTTAGAAAGGGACAGGGTGAGCTGACCTTTGACTTTTTTGCAGGAATCAGCAGCCTCAGGGGAGCAGGGGTAAGAAGTGTTGGATAAGAAGGGCTCTCTGGGTGGAGATGAGAAGCCCTCGGAGGGGGCGAAAGCTTCCTCCCCTTCTTCACTGCTCTCCTCTTCTGTTAAGGAAGCAGATACAGGGATGGCTGTGTGGGTGAACCAATGTCCTACAGCGCCAGCCAGCAGGGTGCTCCCACACTCAGGCCTGCTGTGGACTCAGGGTTACAGCTGGGGGGAGAGTGATGCTTGTAACTGGGAGGGGCTGCTCTGGGATGCAGAGGTCAGAGCCACTGGGGTGAGAGGGAAGGGATGAGGCAGAGGAAACAGGGGTAATGCAGGAATGTGTGTACACATGTTTGAATAGTATACACACACACACACACAAACACCCCACAAAAGCTTTCAGGTTAATCCATTTCCTCCTCCTGCCCAGCCTTGCTTTTTCTGGATTTAGCAGAAATGAATCATTCTATGAATAGAAAAAGAATATGTATGTCCTGAAATGGATCCTCCACCCCTACATGTGACTTGAAACAAAAAACAATTGGTGCCTTATTGTTTTAAGTGCTTCTCGAAAATTGTTACTTAAGATTGCTCTGTGGTTTCACAATGTTCAGATATTCTGCTTCTCTGGTCAGACCTCCCCCCAACTCCCTCTCACGCCAGAGAAAGGGAGGAAAGAAGGGTGTCGGGATGAAAGTGGACCTGGGTATAGGTCCCACGGACCCCTCTGCCCTGCCTCGGCTGGTTTGCTGCTCTGGTGCCTGCCTGTTGTCTGTAGGGGTGCTGTGGGGTGTGAAGGCCTCTCAGAGACTGTCCACCCAAGCTCCCCTCCTGCCTGGGGTTTGGGGAGGGCAGTGCTCCATCCAGGGTGAACTTGACAAGCCCTCACCCAAACAGTTCTGCAAACCTCAGAAGATCTGCCCAGGTCGAGGGGCTGACAGGTACCAATAACCTTTAAAATGCACCCATTTCAGTCTTGCCAAGACTTTCCTCCTGTTCAGCAAAACAAAGCCCCTTCTCCCTCTCTGCTTTTAGAAAAATTTCTCAGAGGACAAAAACAGCAAGTTATTGAAACATTCAGGTCCCAATTGTGAGTTTGTGTTTTAAAAAATTCATTTTAATATGACAACTTAATATGGACATCCGTACACCTTGAGAACAGCCCTCCCTCAGACTGGGATGACAGTGGATAGCCAGGAGGAGGCACCATGGACAAGTTCTTCTAAAGTCAAGAGCCAACAAGCAGTGAGGACACAGTGAGCTCCATTGCCTCTTAGTCTGGTTCTGCTTTCTAATTACAATGGGAAACAAAGCCTGGGTTCCCTGCCACTTTCTAATTCTTTTCAGCCAAGGTCAAGGAAATAGTTATTAACCAGTATCCCGACTTTTTGCAAAATAAAGAAGTTGAAAAAATTTATCTATCTATCTATCTATATATTATAATTTTCCCAGATGGTGCAGTGGTGAAGATTCCACCTGCTAATGCAGGAGATGCAAGAACTTGGGTTTGATCCCTGGGTCAGGAAGTTCCCCTGGAGGAGGAAATGGCAACCCACTCCATTATTCTTGCCTGGAAAATTCCATGGACAGAGGGGCCTAGAGGTCTATAGACCATGGGGTCACGAAGAGTCGGATACAACTGTACATGCATGCCATTTGCTCTACAAAGTTTGTATATATATATATATAAAAATTATATACATATAATTTTTAAATGGCTTTTATCACAGTTTTTTCTCACACAGGAAAATTCCATGATCCTTTTAGTTTAACATGAACATCTCAAGCCTTCCTTTGATGTAATTACAATTTCCAAATACAGTTAGCATGCTGATTAAGATGCTCAGAGCAATGGGAAATTTAGGACATTCTTTCAAAACCCAACACCTTCTCCTGCCCTTCTCAGATTTGATGTCCATAAGCCTTTCACACTGAGACTATCATCTGGCAATCTGTGGTTTAAACCCAGTTATGATTTTTTAAACTCAGTCTTTTTCCAAGAAAATGTAATTAGTTGCCGATATGAAAATCAATAGGAAAGAGAGAGTAACTTTGGTTTCCTTTAAAAATCTGGCAGATGTGGCCACAGATCTGAGTGTTTCTTTGTGGAAACAAATTGTCTTGTGGTTCAACATTCCAAGAGGTTAATATACATCCCAGGTGGCTGCCTAACCCCTGTGAGTCTTCTGAGATTTTTAAATTCCAAGTTGATCCACTGAAACTTCCAAAGGGGGTCTGTCTTTCCACAATTCAGCTGAAATCCACCCAGCTGAGGATGAGACTGAGGACATTCCCAAGATACGGGATTTGGGGTGCTAAAATACCCAACTGTCCTGGGGAAACCAGAATGTGTTGGTCATGTCAGCTGATAGAGTTGGGAAGGAAGGTGGTCTGGGGTCTTTTATAAGAAGCTCAGTTTAAACTGTCTCTGGGTTGGGTGCAGATGGAATTCTGCAACCTCCTGGCTCAGGTCCTTGAACCCCAGAGTGGTCCACAGGCTTCTCTCCCTATCACCTCCCTATATCCTAGGTGAGGGGACCCAAGACTTCTTCCATCCAGAGGAGGAGATCCCAGCCCCCACCAGTCTTTGGGGAGATCCTTGCCCCCTGCTTACCCACCATGCCACCGTCCCCTACACGGTAAACGATCCCAGGACTTAAGTCTATCCTTTGGGAAAGAAACAGCAGCTCCTTACCCTGAATTAGAAGGCTAGAGTGTCAGCCCTGGCTGTGTGAAATAGGACCATTCCTTTTCTCTGAATCTTACTTTCTTCTTCTGTAGCATATGGGTAGGGGTAGCGGTGGGAGTGAGGGGGTGAGGGTGAGACCCACCTCACAGCCTTGCTGTGAGGATGAATAGAATTATGAACGTAAAAGGCCTTTGAAAACTGCAGCTCTGTACAAAAGTTAATTATTATTAGACAACAAAGGCCGGGCGATACTTCCAAGAAGGGCAGAGTTAAAGCTCCTCTAAAATTTTGCTGTGCAAGTCGGTTCCTTTCATCCTTTCCCAGCAGCACTGTGCATTCGTCAAACAGCCATGTGAGCCACTGGGTGATGGACAGGTGAGCTGTGGGGCAGGAGAGGGCCAGTGAGCATGCGCTGATGCTGTGGGCGGGTGTAGGGAATGCTCTGGGCCCAGGGGTGTCTGTGAGGGGTGCAATGAATAGTTTTTGACCCAGAAAGAGGGCAGCAGAGCCAGTGCATGTGTGTGTGTTGTGGGGGGGGGGGGGGGAGGCGCCAGGGCAGAGCTTTGATGCCCTGAGACGTGCTCAGGGCACCACCCTCTCCCCCTTCCTCACCTCCCAGACCTGTCCAATTGTGTCACAGCCAGGTGGGATTTTTACCTTGTCCCCCATGCCTCAGGAAGTAGCCGACAGAGTGCCCTGAGGCCTCCTGGTGGTTGTGCCAGAGAATCAATCATTAATTACCCTGTGCTCCTCTTCTCCTCCCCCCACCCTCCGGGCTTTCAAAATACAGAAATACAAATACAGATCCTGGCAGGGGAAAGGAAAGTGGAAGGCAGTTTGGAAAAAGCCACCCTTGGCATCTGTCCAGTTGCTTTGGGGGTTGGAGATGTGTCCTGGGTACAGGTTTCTGGAGCTCTTTGCCTACCCCAAAGCACCTGGTGGCTGCTCCCTGGGATGGTCGGGAGCAGAGAGACTTGGTATTTTCAGGGTTGAATAAGAAAGAATCTCCTTTGTGGAAGCAGAGAGAAGTCAGATTTTTTTTTTCCCCTGCTATTTACAGTGTTTTTAAAAGTTGTAAATAATGACCTAGGTTCCTTTGCCACCCATTTTGCAGATGAGAAGACTGAGGCCCAGGAAAAGTGAGTACCATTTCCAAGGTTACCCAGCTGGTAGGTGGCTGATTCAGTGTCCAAATAAACACAAGAGACTCAGGTCTGCCCTTATATGTTAGAAATTCTGCTCACCCCAGCCTAGTTTCCTCACTCCCCAGCACCTACCCTACCTCCCATCAGAAAGGAAGGTTCTGGATCCCAGGGTGTGGTCAGAGTGAGATCAAACTCCCA